TGAACAGTTGTGCTTTCATCTTCATTTGTTTCCATGATTTTAAACAACTCTTCTTAAATTTCCTGGTTGACCCATTCATTCTTTAGTAGGATGCTCTTGAGCCTCCATGAATTTGAGTTCTTTTCAAATTTCCTGTTGTGATTGAGTTCCAGTTTCAAAGTATTGTGATCCAAAACAAAAAAAAAACAACAAAAAACAAACAAAAACAAAGTATTGTGGTCCAAAAATATGCAGGGAATGATCCCAATCTTTTAGTACCAGTTAAGACCTGATTTGTAACCCAGTATATGATCTATTCTGGAGAATGTTCTATGTGCATTCAAGAAAAATGTGTATTCTGTTGCTTTAGGATGGAATGTTCTGAATATACCTGTGAAGTCCTTCTGATCCAGTGTGTCATTCAAAGCCCTTGTTTCCTTGTTGATCTGCTTACATGATCTGTCCATTGTAGTGAGTGGGTGTTAAAGTCCCCTTCTATTACTATATTATTATCCATGTGTTTCTTTAATGTTATTAATTGGCTTGTATAATTGGCTGCTCCCATGTTAGGGGCATAAATATTTACAACTGTTAGATTTTATTTCTGAATAGACCTTTTAATTATGATATAGAGTCCTTCCTCATCTCTTATTACTGTCTTTGGTTTAAAGTCTAATTTGTCTGATAGAAGGATTGCCACCCCAGCTTTCTTTTGATGTCTATTAGCATGATAAATGGTTTTCCACCCCCTCACTTTAAATCTAGGATCTGTATGGGTCTAAAATAAGTAACTTGCTGACAGCATATTGATGGGTCTTGCTTTTTTATCCAATCTGATACCCTGTGTCTTTCGATTGGGGCATTCAGCCCATTTACATTCAGAGTAACTATTGAAAGATATGAATTTAGTGCCATTGTATTACTTGTAATGTCACTGTTTCTGTATATTGTCTCTGTTCCTTTCTGGTCTATGTTACTTTTGGGTTCTCTCTTTGCCTAAAGGATTCCTTTTAATATTTCTTGTAGGGCTGGTTTGGTGATCACAAATTCTTTTAGTTTCCTTTTATCTCTCCTTCTATTTTGAATGACAACCTTGCTGGAGAAAGTATTCTTGGCTGCATATTTTTCTCATTTAGCACCTGAATATATCATGCCAGTTATTTCTGGCCTGTCAGGTCCCTGTGGAGAGGTCTGCTGACAGTCTAATGTTCCTACCCCTGTAGGTTACAGACATCTTGTCCAGAGCTGCTTTCAGCAAATTTTCTCTTTATCTCTGAGATTTGCAAGTTTCACTATTTTATGTTGGTGTGTTGACCTATTTTTATTGATTTTGAAGAGGGTTCTCTGTGCTTCCTGGTCTTGGATGTCTGTTTCCTTCCCCAGATTAGAGAAGTTCTCTGCTATAATTTGCTCCAATATACATTCTGCCCCCCCCCCCATCTCCTTCCTTTTCTTCTGGGATCCCAATTATTCTAATATAGTTTCGCTTTATCAACTTTTAAAAATCTTTTTAAAATTTCATTTTATAGTTACATTCTATCCTTTCATTGTATTTAATTTTATTTTTCTATGTATATAAGCTATTTTTTCTTTACAATCCAGGGATGCAGTTTCTTCTAACAGACCAAAATACATCCAGAATCTAGTGTATGGCTCTGTTCTCTTCATCTGTCTGATCATATTTGCTTTTTTTCTTTTTTTACTTCTTTTTTGTGTGTGTTTCTTTCTGTTTCATTTAAGTCTTTTTTAAGTTTCATCTTTACAGTTACATTCTATCCATTCGATGTATTTGATTTTATTTCTGTATATATGTTTTTCTTTCTTTACAATTTTGAGATGTAGTTTTTCTAATAAACTGACCAAAATACACTCAGGATATAGTATATTGTTCTATTCTGTTCACCTGTCTGTTTATATTCCTTCTGTCTTTTAATTTTCATTTTTTACAGTTACATTCTATCCTTTCATTGTATTTAATTTTTTTTTACATATGAAAGCTTTTCTTTTCTACAATTTTGGGATCTAGTTTTCTAACAGGCTAACCAAAATGTATACAAGATCCAGTGTATTTCTCTATTCTGTTCACCTGTCTAATTATATTCTCTTTTTTTGTTCTTGGTTTGGAATTTCTTCTGATTTGCTTAGTGTACATTTCTCTGGGGTCATGTTGCCATTTTAGCATTTTGTTCTCTCATTCATCTATTCTTCTCTGGAGAGAATGACAAGATGGAAAAACTCACCTCAAAAAAAGATAGTAAGAGTCAGTACTGACTGCCAAGGACCTAATCAGTATAGATATAAATAAGATGTCAGAACTGGAGTTCAGAATAATGATTATAAAGATACTAGTTGGGCTTGAAAAAGCATAGAAGACACAAGAGAATCCCTTTCTAGGGGAATAAAATAACTAAAATCTAATTGATTCAAAATCAAAAAGGCTATTAATGAGATGTGATCATAAATGGAAGCTCTAAGTACTAGGATCAATGAGACAGAAGAAAGAATTAGTGATATGGAAGATAAAATGATGGAGAATACAGAAGCTGAGAAAGAGATAAACAACTACTGGATCATGAGGGGAGAATCTGAGAGGTAAGTGATACCATATTGCCTTCATTTTTGAAAGATATGTCGCTGGATACAGAATTGTAGATTTACTATAGTTTTTCTTTAAGTATTTAAAAAAGATGTTCGACTGTTTTATTGCTTGCATTTTTTCTTACGAAAAATGTGCTGACATCCTTACCTTTTTTTTTATATTTAATATGTCTTACTTCACTGACTGTTCTTAAGATTTTCCTTTTATCACAAATTTTGAGCCACTTGATTATAATGTGTCTTATTACAGCTTCCTCTCAGTTTCTTATACTGGGATTCAATAAAATTCTTCCTATCTCATTTGACCATTTTCATCATATTTGGAAAACTTTTGGCCATTATTTCTTCAAATATTTTTCTACTTCCTCCCAACTTCCCTCATTTAGACATATGCTTTATTTTCCTATATGAATTATAAGTGAACAACTGATATATAACCATTTTGAAATCCCTATTGAATTAACGGATCTGGTACTAAGCACTGATGGCTGCCACCATAAAAAGAGAGGCACCAAATATTAAGTGCCTCCTGATGAAATACTATAGACTTGTAAAAGAGATCAAACCTGAACCTGTCCAAGTTTTAGATCCAATTATTAATGTACAGTTGACTCTTGAACAACATGGGTTTTAACCACATAGATCGACTTATATACAGATTTCTTTTGACAAATACAGTACTGTAAATGCATTTTCTCTTCCTTATGATTTCCTTAATAACATTCTCTTTCCTCGAGAGCTTACTTTAAGAATAAAGTATATAATACATAAAGCCTATAACATACAAAATACATATTAATCAACTGTTTGTGTTATCAGCAAGGCTTCCAGTCAACATTACTTATAAGTAGTCAAGTTTGGAGGGAATAAAAAATTATATGTGGATTTTCAATTGCATGGGGGTTTAATGCCCCTAACCCCTGCACTGTTTGAAGATCAATAGTATTATAAATAAAAAAGGCAAAGGAAGACATAAAGCTACATCATGGGGATTCAAAGAGCAAAATCTAGAGCACAGAACCTTCCGCATGTTCAATGACCTGAATTCTTAACAAATTTCTTAGAAATAAAACCAGGAGTATACATGGGAAATCTGTAGATAAAAATGAAAACAGATGAAACTACAAAGGACAGTTAGGAGAAATTAACGTAGTTAAGATAATTATTCCTGCTTTAGATCAGTGCAAGGGCAGGGCACATAAAAGGCTTCTAGAATGGTTAGAAAAGTTCTAATTTGACTTGACAGTAGTTTAAAAATGTTAAATAACAGTTCATTAATTAGTACCTATTAATATTGGTCAATACAAAAGTATATAAAACATTTGTTTTATGCAGTTTTCTATATCTGTACTATATATTAAAATAAACTGTTTTCACAAAAAGAGGTAGATGATTGCAAGTCCCCTACTTTGTAATGCTAATAAAGTTTGATCAAATGTTGAAAATGGTTTTTGGGAGAGTGAAAAGGGAGGGATTACTTACTATGAGGCCAAACACAAAAAGCTTGGGGAGCAAAATGTTAAAATATGGGACAATCTCAAGAATTAATCAATGTACCATATATGAAAAAGTGCCATATTTTGGTATTACTATGGTTTATATCATTTCTGATCATTGTGGAAGGAGAATACCCCAGAAACATTTCGGTGGAGAAAAACACTCCATGTTCTGGCTCATGAATATTAGAAGTGTGAGTATAAAGTAATAAAACAATTATATTGAACTTCCATTCTAAATATATATCCAAATGAGTGTTATTTTATGAATGTAAGCCACATGAGGAGACTATACATTATTCTAATCATGTTGCCATTGCTCAAAACATTTTGAAACTCCTCTTTCTAAATTGTCTTTAGAGATAATTTAGTTGGCCAGGAAAATCAATCTAATTATTGTCCCACCATATTTTGATCAAGATTTGTATTACCCAAGATCTATTACCCATCTTGTTTACAAGACTTTGGTCATTTCCAAAAATTAAATCCAATCTTGAAAGATGAATATTTGCCACCAATGAAGATCTTCAAAAGAATGCACCACAGTCTGTGAAGGCATTTGAGAGGAGTTCCAAAAATGTTTTGGGCAATGGCAGTGTCACTGCAATAACTATTTAGTGTACTGAATTGATGTAGAACAAAATAACTAATTTTTATAATACATTATGGCATATTTTGAAAGTAAGTCTTATTACCTTATGATTGTTTTTAAAAATATTTACTTGGGCATTACCTTAAAGAGAGAAACTTTGTATTGTGTTCATTTTTCAAGGATGAGACAGAGAAAAAGTATTATTTGGGAAAAGGTTTTCACATGCACAATAATCAGGGAAGGGCACTGTTTATTCTCCGAAACTTATACTACATGTGTAAGCCTACTATTTGAGAGTTAAAAAAAAATAAAACATGAGCTTAGCAAACACTTACCAATGTCATTAACAAAGATGAAGAATAATAAGAAGATAAATACATTGGATTTCCAAACATCAACACAAAACAAAGGAGAACTGAAACCTGCAAATTGAAGAAAGGAAACATCTAAACGTTTTATTGTTATTAGATATATAGTATAATGCATACTTTGTTAACAGTCACAGTCATTTCTAATACAAACTTTATATGTATAAATAAGATTAATAATGGTCAAATGATAATAGAATTTCAACACACTAATATGTTTTAAGTATTTTCAACACCATAAAATATATACAGAATTTATCTTTTTCTCTACCTAAAACTTGATATAAAGAAAATAGAAAAGACACATTTTTGATTCAAAAATGGAGTGATATAATAAGAAAGACTTAGTCATAAGTCTTTTCTAATCTTTTCATAATTTTCTAATTTTATTTTTACAATGTAATATTAATCCAAAGTGCTAAAAGGCTGTTTCAAAAGTAGTGACAATAAGTAAAACATTAAAAAATTTTTTAAGTTTCACAGAACATAAAACATCTGAATATTACAAATATATAACAATATAATCATTCCTGGATAATATCAACATCATATATATTAATGAAATACTACTTGCAAAGAGGTATCCCATAAAACAGTTCTGTTTTATAAATTCTGAGATCTATTTTAATATTTGACTTATAAATATTAAAAATGTTACCATGTTCATATAAATGATCTTCTGAAATTTGTTTGGCTCAATGTACCCCACAACATACATGGGAAATAATGAAGCTATCTGAAATAAAAATAATTAAAAAGCAAACATGAAAAAAGTGAAAAACAAATACTTCACTACTCATAAGAAAAGTAAACATTAAGAGTAGAGTTTATTTCCAATAATTATAGTCAAAATAATCTGAACCAACCTTATCATTAAGAACTAGAATACTTGGAAAAAATATTTCAAAACCTGCATGAAAGCCACAGATTACAAACAAATCTAAAAAGAATTAGGAAGGTAAAAACATAGAAGAGATGAAATCTACAGCGATGAATAAGATATTTTATTAAGATATATTAAGATATATTTATTTATTATATTTATTTATTAAGATATATTTTATTAAGAATAAGATATATGAATAAGATATTTAGGTTGCTTTTATCCCAGAGACATCTACCAATTCCAATAGCAGATTCTAATAGAGGCAATTGAGAGATTTCGATTGACCCAGTACTTAGGGCACATCAAGAAGATCTCTCTGTTAAGTCCCCGAGCTTTGGTTTTGGCTATATAATATGAGAGAAACAGAAATCAAGGAGCCCTCAGGAAGACTGAAGCCCACCTTTGAATTAGCTCATTCTCTCATTGCAGAAGGGTGACTCAAGATTGCTAGCGCCTTTATCTGTCTACTGGAAGCACAGCAAAGGAAATGATTGACAGATTAAACAGGCAATCTGTAGAATGGCAGAAAATATTTGCAGAATATGTATCTGATAAGAGGTTAATATCCCAAGTATGTAAAGAACTCATAATACTCTAGGAAAAGACAAGTAACTTTATTAAAAAATAGGCAAAGGACTTGCACAGGTATTTATTCAAAGAAGATATGCAAATAGCTAATAGATACACCAAAAAATGTTCAATGTCACTAATTATCAGTGAAATACAAATTAAACCACAATGATATGCTATTTCACATCCATTAGGATGATTATTATCAAAAAACAGGCAACAAGTATTAAGGGAACCTTTTCACACAGTTCTGTATGCAAAATTGTACAGCCACTATGGAAAACAGTATGAAGGTTTCTCAAAAAATTAAAAATAGAACTATCATATAATCCAGCAATCACATTTCTAGGCATTTATTTTTTAAGAAATGAAAAGAGAATCTTGAAGAGATATTAGCACTCTTATGTTTACTGTGACACTATTTATATATCCAAGATATAGAAATAACCTAAATGATGATCAATATATAAATGGATTAAAAACTGAGTCAAATACCTACAATGGTATATCATTAGCCTTTAAAAAGAGGGAAATCCTGTAATATGGAAAATATGAATGAGGCATTCGGCTAAATGAAATAAGTTAGTCATAGGACAAAAACCACAGGTTACACACAGGATTATGCTAAGTGAGGTAAGTCAGACAGAGAAAGACAAATACTATGATATCACATGTGGAATCTAAAAAAGCCTAACTTATAGAAACGAAGAGTAGAATGGTGGTTATGAGGGACTGACAGGTGGGGGAATAAGACAGATACTGGACAGAGGGTCCAATTCACAACTAGAGATCTACTTAAGTTCTAGAGGTCTAACACACAGCATAGTGATTATAGTCAATGCTGTATTATAGACGTCAAAGTTCTCAGAGGCTAAATGTTAAATGCTCTCACCACATAAAAGAAATAGCAATTATGTGACCTAATAGATATGTGTAACACTGAGGCGGTAATCATACTGAAATACATATAGTATTATGATGTGCACAATTGTTAAATTGTATGTACTATATAATACTGCCTCAAAATATTTAAAGAATTTAAAGAATTTACAGAACTAAAAGTAGACATAGACTAATCAACTGTTAAAGTGAAAGATTTTAGCACATTCTTCCTCTAGTAACTGAAATAAATGAAGAAAAGTAGTAGATATCTAAAAGTGTAAATATCACAATTAATAGACTTTGCCTCATTAACACATGTAGAGCTATATATATAACAAATATAAAATATTCAATCTTTTAAAATGCATCAAGAATAGAAAATATCTTATAACAAATCTAATGAAACATCTGTAAGATGTGAAATACAATAGTGTATTAAATCAATACCATTGTACACTTTAAACTTACAAAATGTTACTTGTCAATTATATCTCATCAATGAAAAGAAAAAGAAAACTAAAAGTCCAGAACATCTTTTGAATGGAGAGAAAATCAATAAGGAATATCAAAATTACCCAAACAGCTACTTAAACAGTCTCATCAGCACCAGGGGATTAATAAATGTGCTTGAAGGAAGTGATGCACATTAGAAATCTATGCTGGCAGGCGTAAATAAGGGAAACCACAGACTTTGTTTACCAACCTGGAAAGGCCAACTATAAGGAAGTAGAGCATAGAAAACACTTTAAAATGCAGCGCCAATTAAGTTGAGGTTATAATTTCATTTTTGTTGATCATCAGCACAAGCCTTCTTGGCACAATTTCTCGCTACCAACATAGAACGTTATTATCATTAGTATGGTTAGTTAGGTGGAAAGGAGTTCTAATGTAAAATTTGGGTATCATGAAATTTTATCAAAATTGACCTTTTACCCTCTACTTTCCCAGCTCAGCTTCTTGCCATTAGTTACTTAGTTGTTTGGGGAAACAAAAAATGGCCTCAAATTCACTCAAGTAATGTCATGCATGATTGAAGCTCTTGAGAAATGGTGTTCAGAAAGATTCTGCTCTTTGAACAAAAGAAGCTACATTAGAAGCAGATGCCCCTTACTATGAAGAGAAGGATTGGCCCTTACCATGTTGTGTAGCTTGGCATCCAAAATGATTGCTAAGATAAAAGGAAAATCTACGGGCAAATTTATAGAGATCATCTTAAATACAAACAAGAAAAGTTGTGAATTAAAGTAATAGTTTGAAAAAGTCTTTTGCATGTTGATTGTTAAGATCTGCCTAACTAAACCAATACGTTAATAGAACGTAGAATTACATTTTTTTTTGAAAAAAATCATACATGTATGTTTGTTTTTTAATTTTTATTTATTTATGATAGTCACACACACAGACACACACACAGAGAGAGAGAGAGAGAGAGAGAGAGAGAGGCAGAGACACAGGCAGAGGGAGAAGCAGGCTCCATGCACCGGGAGCCCGACGTGGGATTCGATCCCGGGTCTCCAGGATCGTGCCCTGGGCCAAAGGCAGGCGCCAAACTGCTGCGCCACCCAGGGATCCCACATGTATGTTAACTTTATAATTATCCCACATTTTGAAAATCTATTAGGGCAGAAACATAATGACATCATACAACTTCTATAAAAACAACCAAGTCGTCTTGCGTTCAACTTAAATTAGTTTAAAATCATCTTACCTGTGTAAAAAGTATAAACTGAGCAAACTGCCAGGGAAGCATAAAAGCAACATTGGAAAGACAGAGTGCAATAAAATGCCTTCTATTATTGTTGGAGGTCCTTAATAGAGAGAATTAATACCAATAAGTTTTTACTGTAAAAGTAGCCTATCACTAAACAGAAAAGCTAATTGAAAAATGTTGAAATCTAAAGACCCCTTACTTTTGGTATAAGATAACAAAATACAGTTAAAATTTAAAAGGCCATTAAAGAACTGAAAATATCTGGGTCATAAAAATGCTTAGCATAAAACAATCTCAATTACAGCTTTAAATATTGCATCTAGTTTGTCAGTAAATAAAATATATTAAGCATAAATGTCTATTTTCCTTTCACATATGCATGATATTAGAAATTTGATACTCCAGCAACGTGGTCCGAAAATAGAGTGTGAACTAACCCTGCCCATCTCAAGATACTTAGCCTCTACAAGCAGCAGCAGTTTACATACCACCACCTTTGTGTCTCAAAAAGCAATGAAGAAAAGTGTTGTGTTGCTGAAATATTAAATCAACTACCATGAGAACATTTTAAAGAAAAAGATTAAAACAATGACTGAAAAAGAACTCTAGAATGCAGTTATAAACTGCTGCATACTGAAGTTTAAACTATCCAGTCTACAATTAAAAGATGTATTGGTAACCCAACAGCTTTTACCACACAGTTTCAGAATCTCTTAGAATATGAAAAAAGAAATGTAAACATTTAGTGTAAATAATAAAACTGTAGCTGTTCTTTTTTATAAAAGTTGTACTGGATTTTGATAAATCCTTATATTATGATAGATAAATTTTCAAAAGAAAAATTTTAAATGTTCATATTGTTTAGTGATATCACAAAATATACTAAGTTCTCAGTTGTTTTATATTTACCAAACAACAGTGCCTTTTGGCTAAGTTGTGGAGTATGCAGCATACTTGTACTCAAGGCTACAGTCCTAAATGTTGTAGTTAACGCATTTCATTCCATGAAACCCCTGACTGGTCAGATTAAAATCACTTCCAAAAATTGGAAAATAAAGCATCTTGCTAGGCATTTAGATTACCTAAAAGCTGTAGTCTAGACTCTTAAGTGGAAAGCAGTTGTTTACACAGTGATTTTATTTTCTCAACTGGATACTCTTATTTTTAAAGTAACTAAAAATAAAGGGAAAACTAAATTTGATGATTATAACTTAATAGGGTGGAGTATATTTTAAGAGACTTAACTTATAATCTATTTATATTTGTTTTATAAAGAAAAATTACCTGAGAATCAAAGTTAAAATGCACATCTGAAGTACAAGAAACGGATATGAAAAACTTTCCCGGAGAGGTGGTGTCCACATTACACGGGTAGCCTGAAGTCAATAAAATGCTCACTTCACTTTATGTTCCATCGCAATAAATATTATTAATCTAAAAATCATGAGTATGCTGGTTTTAATAATTTTAATACTAGGCTCATTAATTTCCAAATGCCTGGGATAGCTTTTTAGTTTTTGGAGCTCTCTTAATGGGCATAGGCATTAGGTAGAGAGCCATTATATAGCAAGTTCAGAAGCAAGTGATAAATATATCATGCCAAACATAAGAAAATCTAAAGGACAAACAATGCAGCAGGTATAGAAGTGGTGAGGATTTTGGAACTGACAAACCAGATTCACATTCCAGCTCTGAAGTGATGACCCTGGCATCCCAGGGCTTTGGCATGTATGTATGCCCAGAAAAAAACCTAACCAAATGTCAGCTAGGGCATTCACAAACACCAAGAGAGTTTATACATAACAAGTTGTCGCTACAAGTAATTAAGATTGTCTCTGAATTTGTGAAACACACCTTTAAAAGAGTCAACAGTTTTAAAAAATAATAAAATAAAAAAATAAAAGAGTCAACCGTAAATTTCTAAAAACACCTGGAAATATTTGGAATCAGTAATGTGATACATAAATGGAAGCACTGACATTTTTGTATAGATTTTTAAACTAATTCTAAGATGTGAGTATAAGAGTTTCACATCAAGAATTCTAAAATTCTAGAAAGAATTGAAACTCTCATAAACTATTACCTCTCTTTCAAAAAAAAAAACAAAACTGAACTTTAGGAGATGAATTATGGCATGTATAAGAAAGTCAATTAATCTAGCATACTCAAAAAAAAGTTTTGTCTATACATAAATAGATTGGTAAACAACAGTACATTTAAGTTTATATATTTATGTATAATTTTCATGACTCCTTTGTCTGATTTTCTAAAATTCACCAATTGTTCTTTCCTAGTAGTAATGGATAAAAACTTCAACCCTGTGTAACTGGTGCCACAACATATTACATATTTTGTTTCCCAAAGCTAGCAGTCATATTCTCTCACTTTTCACTGCCACCTCTCAGCATGGAACAGAATCTGGCACAGGTTACACACGCAGTATATTGTTGAATGAGTCTATCATATTCTAAATAAGTTTCTATGAGCTCTTTGTAGGTGGACTATATCCCATTGGACTGAGTTAGTAAATTTCTACTTTGAGTTCAGCATTTTGTGCAATTAAAAAGGCAACGTGATGAAAGAGAAGCAAGGTGTTTGAGCCAGACAGATGGAGAATGAGAAGCCCAGTTTCCCTAGGTACTAAATGTGGAATCTTGCATAAGTAACTTAACCACTCTAAATTTCAATTTCTTATCTTCTACTGTGAGGATAATAACCACCTTCCAAAAACGTGTGGTAGGAGTAAATGAGATAATGTCTATATAAAGAGTCTGAACTCAACAAGTATGGTATTTCCTCTTTCAACAAAATAGAGAATTTGCTTTTTCTACAAAATATAGGGACACTAAAAATCAGACAAGATATTTCACACCATAAATTCTAATTATGTAAAAATGTGGATTAACATGATTAAAATATGAACTTACAACACAAGGTTCTTTAAAATATTGCGAGGTCCTAAGTAACATGCAATTATATATTGTTTTGATGAATATATTTCCTTGTTCCTATATAGCCCCTTCTATTTCTTAAAAATTATTTTCTAGAAAACAAACCTCTCCATGGTTGAAAAAGTAGCATAATACTGTAATTAGACCTCCAAGTTGAGTCCCACTGTTAAAAAAAGAGTATACATTCATAATTCATAAAAATATAGTGAGCTTTTCACAAATTATCTTAGAATTTAGTCATATTTAAAATGCAATAGTACTAAACCACATAGAATAATGCAAAAAATTTCCAAAGTATGTGTGTAGTTAATGTTTTTCATCTTGAATGTACAAGCATATAGGGTATCAATATAAAGTAATTTGAATTTTATAATTTGTGTATTTAAAGTACTTTCTAAATAAAATACATAATAACTGAACGTAAAAATTTTTAACAGGCAGGCCGCACTCCAAAGTCTATATTGTATTCTTTGAATTTTCTGGAAGCCAGGTTTTTTTTTTTTAATTGGATTTCAGTGACTGAGAGACAAAGACAAGAGCCCAGCAGTTTCACTTACAAGTGACTTTGACGTGTCTGAACTATTGTAATCATTCTTTGGTTGAGTCCCAAAGAAACAACAATGCAGAATACAAAACTCAGGTCCTGAAATGTTGATAATCACCAAAGAAATGGTACTTAAGTACCATTAAGTACCATTTCTTAAAGTTGCCTTTTTTTTTATGTTGTCATCATTGTAGCCACAGCTTCACACTTAGAAGACAATAAATATCACGTGAATGATTGAAGAACAGAAGGAATGAGCTCAAAACAAGGAAAGCTAATGGGAAGTGATTTACCATTAACAGATTTTCACTGAGGGAAATTCTAAGGATGCCTTTGAAAAGAAAGAAATTGCAGAGAGGAAGGTGTGAGAAGCAGAACAACTGCAGCCTACAGAAAGTTAGGATCATGTGGACATAAATCTAAGCAAGATCTGGTAACATAAGCAGCAATTATAGTGCCTTCCTGCTGTGGAGGGGTAGTGGACGCACTAACCTATGATAATAATTATAACATGTGAGGGGCTGTTTTGAAGCAAAGTTCCTAAAATTCCTTGTATTAATCAGAAGAAGAAGAAAGATCTCAATTTTGGACTTGATAAAGTCAGATATGCATGTCAACATTTTATCATTAACCACCAGAAGAATATAAATGGAATAGCTAACTTCTAAGCTAGCATCAACAGGGGAGAGTAGCCAGGCTAAGAAATAAAATTTATCCCCAATTCCTATTTCTTTTGTTTCTCATATGCCATCGTTTCCAGTCTCCTCACAGTGTTGGTGACACTTTTATAGGCAACATTTATTGTATCTGCATATCCTTCTCAAAGTCTGGAGCCTAAGAATGTATTTGATATTCCAGAACTGTGTAACCAATTTAGAGAAGACTATCACCTTTTGGGGGGGGACGCGGGGGGGGGGACTCTCCCAATGAAAAGTATCAATTTAAAAAACATTCTTAGTCTGTATAACATTTTCCATATTTAAAAACAGCATAATATGAGCTAATGTCAAAAACAGAACATTTTAAAGCCTGCCAACATAATCCAAAAATAATCCTTTTCCTTCAAAATACTGATGAGTTTATGTTCTCCTAGAAGCCATACATTAAAAAGTACATAAAATTGTCTTGTTTCTAGAACAATTATAAAGTGAACATACTCGTAACTACTATATATCATTGAAATAGAAAATTGATCACATCCTGAGTCCCCACTTGACATCCCTTCAGACAGCCACTATTGTGATTTTTGTTATTATTAACAGAACCACATCTATACACAAATCAATACTACAATTTAATCTATTTTTAAACTTTATACAAATGAAGGTTGTATCTTTAAGTTTGTGCTTGCCTACATTCATTCAACACTATATTTGTAAGATTTGTCCGTGTTGATGTGTGTAGCTATAGCTCATTTATTCCCAATATTGCATATATTCCAGTGCATTAATGAGCTGTAATGTGTATACTTCTCTGTTGATAGACATTTGAGTTGTTTTCTGTTTGCAGCTATTGCAAACTACTGCTTATATGTACATCCTGGCATACACGGGCAAACTTTCTTAAGCATATATACATACATATCTATATATATTAGTGTAATTGGCACACAATGTTACATTAGTTTCAGGTATACAACATAATCATTCAACACCTCTACACATGATGCTATGATTACAAGTGTAGCTGCCGTGTGTCACCACACAATGCTATTACAATACCATTTGCTGTATTCCCTGTACTGTAGGGAATTACACAGCTATATTCCCTGTGCTGTGCCTTTCCTCCCTGTGACTTACTCATTTTCATAACTGGAAGCCTGTTATCGCTCATTCCCCTCCCCCTATTTTGCCCATCCCCACTCCTCTCCCAAGTGGCAACCACCAAGTTTGTTTTCTATATTTATAAGTATATATACTTTAAAAAGGAATTGCAGAATTAGAAGATATGTACACCTTCAACTCTACTAAATTATGTAGTTTTTCCAAAATTGTTGTACTGGTGTATATGCCCATCTGCCATGGATAAAAGTTCCTTTTGCCAATGCAGTAGATGTGAAATAGTATGACATTGTGGTTTAAATTTGTATTTTTCTGATGGTGGTCAACTTTACATATATATATTGTCAATTTGGAATTCTTCTGATATATGTCTGATCATGAATATTTTATACAGTTTTCTATTGGACTATCTTCTTAGTCTTTGTCTACCCTCTAGAATATATACTCCAAGAGCACAGAGATTATTTGCATTCCTGGCACCTAGAGAAGTGCTTTTGGTCATAGTAGGCATTTAATAAATTAATTAAATCATCAAATTAATTATTCTAATGTCTGGAAACTATATTGGGTATATGCATTGCAATATCTTTCCCCAGTTTGTGGCTTATCTTTTCATTGTATAATATCTTGAGGAACTTAAATGCTTCCCACCAAATTTATTAGTTTTTCTTCTTAATGGTAAAACCTGTCTTAAGTTTTCTTAAGATTAAAAAAAATTCTCTTTTTTTTTAAAAAAAAGACTTCATTTATTTATTCATAGAGACACACACACAGAGAGAGAGGCAGAGGGAGAAGCAGGCTCCGCGCAGAGCCCGACATGGGACTCGATCCTGGGTCTCCAGGATCACGCCCCAGGCTGCAGGCAGTGCCAAACCGCTGCGCCACTGGGGCTGCCCAACATTTTCTTATCTTGATTTACTGATATATTCTTCTACATAACATTCTATAATTAATAATTTTATAATTTTGTCTTTCATTTTATATTTTATAATTTTGTCTTTCATATTTGAATTTTTAATCTTACTAGACTTTAATTTTCATACAGTTCCAACTTCTTTTTGTTCTGTATCATCTTCCGATTATACCAGCACCGTTTATTGAGAAGCTGGCCCTTATCTACTGATGTACAATATTGACTCTATCCTACATCAAGTGTCTTTAAATGGACAAGTGTTTCTGAGGCCTGCCTTAGTCCACTGATCTGCTTGCCTAACCCTATGCCACAATCGCATTGCATTGTTTGCATCAGTTTTATATTAGAGAAACAATTACTAAAGTAAATCCTCCTATCTTGCTCAAGAATGTCTCTACTATTTTAAGCACTTTGCATTTCTGAACAATTTTAAAATCAGCTTACCAAAGCAAACAAAATGGGCAATGTATTGAATCTATAAATCAATTGGAATAACTCTCAATTTTCTATTATTGCCTTCCAACCCATGATTATTTATATTTATTTAGATCTTTCATTTATTTAGATCTCCATTTATTTACACCTTTCTAAAAATCTATCAATAAAGTTCTGTAATTGTCCCAAAGAAGACATATATATTCCTTATCAGATATTTGTTAAGTAAGAACTTTATGCTTTCAATGCTTTTTTTTAAAAGGCATCCTTTTAAATTTTCAATTAAAAAAATCAAAGTACAGATTTACAATGTCTGAATATAAATTTTTGTATTCAGTAACATTATAAATTTTCTTATTATATTAATTTTTACCCATAGATTCTTTTGGATTTTCTACATAAAAGTCTATGATCTGCTTATACAGACACTTGTTTCTTTTCTTTTTTTTTTTAAAGTTTTCCAATCCTTATACTTACTACTACTTTTTCTTAACTTGCTGGCTGGATATGATACCTGGTACAATGTTGCAAATGTTACAATTTTTTATTGGTACTATGCTACTATTTTGATGCTGAAAACTTCCTAAAACAAGAACTGTATATATATTAATCTCTATAGAGACATAAACCCTATGAAACCTCAATACTCATTGAAAGATTAAATCTGGATTTTTAACTTTAAATGTTGTGCAGTTCAAGAATAACATTATAAAGAAAGCTGGTTGTCAGTCAGGAATATATTCTGCTGTAAGAAACAAAAACTTAACAAAAGTGGCTTAAATAACATGGGTTTTTATTATAGTATTCAACAAGAAAATGCAAGATAAGTGTCTGTTGGCATTGGTTCACTAGCACAAGGGCCTTAGTGTAGATTTATGCTAGGTTTACAGTTTAGATGACTACAGCAGCTCTTGATATCACAGTTAAGTTTAAAAGCAGAAGACAGAGAAGGGGCAAATGAAATCTATCCTTTTGTGAGAAAAAGAAATGCTTTTCTAGGTGTAAACAAGACTGATTTCACCATATTTTTCACTGAAGAAAAAAAAAACCTAGCTCATATGGCTACCCTAAGAAACAATGGAGAATGAAAAGCAAAATACACAACTATCATAATCAACTTCAACCTATCACCTGAGATTGTACACACTACTATCCCAAACCAAATTGTGGTACTATTAACAAGAAAGATAGGCTATCAAATAGAAGTGTCTGCCACAGTGATATACATTTTCTTTTACTGCTTTCTTAATTTCACAAATACAGACTTAAAATTAGAAATAACCTGCCACTTATACCAACCAAAGATTCCTCTAATGTTATAGTAATTTTACATACAGTCTAAAAGTATTCTCATTAAAAACTTTGTTAAGAAATTTTAATTCACTTTTTTAAATCCCCACAAGGATAAAAAAAAGAGACCTTTAAGATATTTTTAGTGACAACTCTAGTTTCTGGTTGCACAATATTAGCTAAGTTTCTGGAAAAAAATAAATTTATAAAATCTCCTACTATTAATCAATTAACCTCATAATTATCCTTTTCCTTTAATCAGAAATGTCAGCCAGTTCTTATAAGCCTACTTAAAGATCTTACCTCAGGTATGCACCATATATGAAGAACAATCCCATCATTATTCCATTTAAAATAAAAATCACAGCAACATAAAAGCAAGCAGGGTCTCCCAATCCTTTAAAAAGACACAGATTGTTGAGTATTAAATTAATAAATGACTATAAAGCAAGTGGGCATAATTATCTCATATTTTGTAATCAAGGGTTCATGGACCTGCTGAAAACATTTGCTGTTCAGATTAAGTACTTTCCCTTTACATGATGTATTGTTACATTTATATTTTATACTTTTAATTACATTCATACTTTCCCCTAATGAAGTATTATTATACTGTAATGACTGGTTGGTGCATCACTTTGTTTAGGTGATGCTACTATTGTTCAGTATCTAGAACTCTCTATGGAGCCACTTCATGCATTACAGAAGAAAACCCACTGCATTATTTTTCTACTTTCCTAGGTTCTAGGATGAGTAAGATATGGCCCCTGACCTCAAGGAGCACCTTAGTCTATATGAGATGACCTAGTTATTTTATCCATTACTATGTATAGCCAAAACCTTAATTCTTAATATATCTCATGTATAAACAAGCTTTGTGTGTGTGTGTGTGTGTGTGTGTGTGTTATGTAAAAACATACATGTAGTCTATTAGGTGCTATATAATCATCTCACAGAATTCTCAGAACAAATCTATGAGATTAGTAAGAAAATACTTTTATTACTGAGAAAACAAAACACAGAAAACTTAAATAAATTGCCAGAAGTTATTTAGCCATAACAGATGCAGCCAAGATCTGAAGGCTGGCTTTTCTGATTCCTACTACTTCTCTGACCATTCCTTTTCAGTCTGTTTTAATAACTTTTGCTCCATTACACACCCTTGCTTACATTCCTAGCATCATTTCACACCATTTTTCCCTTTCTTTCTCTGCACCCAGAAGTCTAGTCTTCTTTTAATTTTCTCTCACCTTGGGATTTCTGATTATTCTGGTCCCTATTCTTGAAACACTTCTTCTCCCTTACTCTCAATCTTAGCAACCTCATTTTCTTATTTGTAATATCTATTGCAGTTTACACCCTACTTATGTGTAAACTCTATGAGGATGAGGTCCATGTCATCTTGATCCCAAGAGCAAACACTAACTTATCATTTAGTGGCAACTTAATAAATATCATATATGCACATGTACATCAGGCAATTTTTTACATCCCTCAGAAAAAGTGATACCTTCTAAGCTGAGTCATTCCAAAGTCTCTCCTTTTATGAAGCATTTTCTTGATTCCTTTGTACAAAAAAAATCTAAGTACCCCTCAAATATCCTCTATCAATGCTATCTTAGATGTTAAAAAGCTCAGCTATGGGTATAAGTAAATATGGAAGGGAAATACAGAAATACACAGTAAATTGTCTAAGAATTAAATGTTATACAAACAAGTCTATAAAAATATATTTACAAAATACAGTAAGTAGTCATGTTGTACAGAATATGAAGAAATAAAAAACAATTGTGTAAATATTATGCAAGTAGATATATTAACTTTGAGTAAAGTTTTTATTTTTTTTTTAATTTTTTTTTATTTATTTATGATAGTCACACAGAGAGGGAGAGAGAGGCAAAGACACAGGCAGAGGGAGAAGCAGGCTCCATGCACCGGGAGCCCGACGTGGTATCCGATCCCGGGTCTCCAGGATCGCGCCCTGGGCCAAAGGCAGGCGCCAAACCGCTGCGCCACCCAGGGATCCCTTGAGTAAAGTTTTTAGACTGTAAAAGTGTTAAACAGCAAATATCTTTTTATTTAGGATTTATTTATTTATTCGTGAGAGACACAGAGAGAAAGAGAGAAAGAGGCAGAGACAGAGGCAGAGGGAGAAGCAGGCTCCACACAGGGAGTCTGATGTGGGACTCAATCCCGGGACTCCAGGATCACACCCTGGGCTGAAGGTGGTGCTAAACCACTGAGCCACCCGGGCTGCCCTAAACTGCAAATATCTTAAATAAAAGTGACAATTACAGATCCTGGAAAACAGATGATTCCAAAAGGGGTTCTTTGGCAAAGATGCCAACGTAGAAGATGTATGGAGAGTTCTATTAGAACTGTTCATGAGCTGTGAGAATATGGAAAAAAAATAGTGTTTCTAAAACAACCTATTAATTGCATATTTGATTTTTAAATATGTATGTATAACTACATTTTTACATGAATTATTACATGTAGATATTTGATTACTGACTCTGCATTACCCAGATTTATATATTCAAACTACCCCAAAACATTTTTTAAACCTTTTTATTCTGAAAGAGAAGAATGACTTATACTCAGGATTGCTTTACATTGGGGCATCTTAATACTCAAATTCCAAACTGATACTCATAAGTATATGGCCTTCTCAGAAAATTACTTTTAAGGGTATGTACTCTTTTAATAAGTTCTAGAGTGTTTTTAAAAACAAATCAACTACAGTAGTCTATAGTTCTTAAAATGAGTTCACAACACTAAAACATTTATGTAAATATTAATGACAACATAGCAGCATTTTAGAAAGAAACATGCCTTCACAACTTTGAACTTCATTTAAAGGTTCTACTCTGGTGACATTCCAGCAGGTCTTAGTTTCCAGTCCAAATAAATTCATTATTCCCACAAATATGCGATACCAGAAGGCTATAATCACCTACAAAGATAAAAATAAAAAGAGATTATGGAGGAAAATATCCTATCATCATAATAATAATTTTTCCAAAACACAATTTTATGATGGTTTCCTTTGGCATTATAAACTTTGACAAGTTTATTTAAATCAAATGACTTGGAAAACAGTCATTTTAAAATTATATACACATGCACAATAAACTAAAGTTGTATGTTACTAATTAATGCACATCGATAAAAATTTGTTATGATCATCATTTCTATAATATATTCTTGTAATCAATTCTACAACATAAATAGCAGTAGCTATAAAATAAGTTAGTACCGTATAATTAAAATATGACAGTGATTAACAGCAAAATACAATGATTTACAGGAATATTTCATAACATTTCATTTATTGAATTTATTTGCTTCACAGTCTAAAAAATATTAAACCAACTGCATATGGAATAATAGCTCCCATGTCCATTAAAACTTTGACCAAGTAGGTTTAATTAACCAATTCTTCCCATTCTGTACACTTTGTGAAGTTTAAAGACAAAGGAAAAGAACAACCATAGAAAACTACAAACAAAATGCTAATGCCTGGGAGATTTTTTAAGAATAATTTATAGATTTGGGAAAAAGTAATGCAAGATCATTGGAAGAAGAATAAAAAAGTAAAGAATTCAAGTGAAAGTGAAAACCACCCAGAGCTAACTATTTTAAAAATTTTGGTGATCGTCCCTCCAGTCTCCCTCTTGGTATATAAAAACACATAGCTGGATTGGGTATTATATAATATTATATAAGATGTTAATGTAATACACATCATAAACATCTTTCCATATACAAAAAGTATAAATTTATTATTTTATCATTTACTTTTATAAAGCTGACCTTAGACAAGAAATTGTAATATATATTCTTGTGTATTTATCATCCATGTACAAAAACTTACCACAATAAATGTATGTGCTAAATCTAAATCTAGAGTTATACTCTTTTCTGGAAGATAGATAGCTTGATATAATAGGACAGTACTGCTTTAAAGTACTGATGTTAAAGTCAGAATTAAACTCAAATTCTGACTCTGCAAGTTATGATTTTAATAGCCTGAAATAAATCCTTCACCCTCAGAATCTTGGACACCTCATCTCTAAAATGATGTTAATAATAACCATCTTGCAGGAGTGACAGGGGATTAGAGCATACATGCTGGTGTATAGTTTAGCATTAAGTACTTTGCCTTTTCAAAATATGTTATTCCAAACTTAACACTTTTAGCTTTGGGTGAAACATTAATCTCCTTATGAACACAAAAAATATGGACATTCATTTCAACATACAAAGTGGCAAGCATATCTAGATCTTCTCTACACTCTATCTATGCAATGTGAAATAAGACTGAATGATTCCTTGTTGCCTCATTCTTTATGATACTATAAATTTACATTATCATGATTACTTTTTCATAATATCAAGGAGATTGGCAGTTGCTAATTATACAATATCTTTGAATAAGTAAAAAGAAAAAAATAGCTATTGTTTTTGAGAACATGCTGTTTGAAAATGGAACAAAAAACAGAAATTTTACTATATTAAATTCTAAAAATAACCCTAAAACTACTGTAGTAAGCTAAATCCTTATCTTTTTTTTAATCCTTATCTTATATACAGAGTAAGTTAACATTAAATAAAGCTGAATATTCAAGATACTGGTTGTATTTTAATTTTTGAACTTACACTGGAGTTATAGATAATCATCAGAGGAAATAAGAACAGAAGAGTATCTCTGAAGAGTAACATGGGATATAAAGAAAGCTGGTGCAGAAAAAAGCTTCTTTCATCTTAGACCTTAGGCAGGTCTATATTATAGAATTGTTACTATTGAAAATTACATTGAAAAATACTTACAGAAATAAAAAACAAAAAACACCTGAGCATCTAGGTGGCTCAGTCGGTTACGTGTCTGACTCCTGTTTTTGGCCCAGATCATGATCTCAGGGTTGTGAGACCAAGCCCCAAGTCAGTCTCCACACTGGCCATGGAGCCTGCTTTATTTTCTCCGTCTCCTTCTCCCATTGTCCCTCCCTCCACCTCTTTTTTCCCCTCAAAAAAAGAAAAAGAATTTTTAAAAAAGAAATAAATCTAGGAAACCTCCAAGTACTTGGAAATTAGATATCAAATACCCAATGGATCAAATAAAAAATCACATGGGAAATTAGAAATTAGAAAATAACTTGAACAAAAACAAAAATGAAAAAACAATATATAAATATTAAATAATATGAATTTCTGCTTTGGAGAAGATACAGTTAGTAGACATACTTCTTCAACTGTGACTAAAACTCCCGGGAATTATATAAATCAAACATAAGAAGACCATGAAAGGTAGAGAGAAGGGAAACTATCTAGGGATCTTAGGACCCAAGGAACATGATGATGAGTTCCCTAGACTTTCCTTTGGCCTCATTTTCTCATATTTGGAGTTAAGAGTTTGGCAACCAGAAACACCAATGGGTGTAGACACAAAAAAGATTGACAAAAGCCTACTCCCTCTAACTAAAAGACCAGGAAAGTGGCAACCTAGGAATACATAAAAATTTTTATAAACAATGATATCTCTCCTCAACCAAATACTACAGAAAACAACAATGACAAAAACCCTGTATGGTCCCACTCCCACCAACAAAGGTCAAATTGGGAACCTACACTTCAACCTTCTCTAGGCTTTCAACAGACATCCCAACTCACCCACTAGGATGTTGTAGGAGAAAGCCAAGTAGGAAGCCCTCTCTCCAGGTGGTGTCAGTATAGAGCATGTGGGGGGAGCCTGAACTTCTACCCCACACAGCAATAAGTCATCCTTTCCCCTTCCCGGTGTGGTAATGTCAGAGGAGGCCTACTGAGAAGTCAGGGCTTTCATCACCACCCAGGGGTAACAAGGCCATCCACACCATTGTGTCTGCAGAGATCACAGAGTTAGTGAGAATTCTGATCTCACTCAAAGGTAATGAGGAGTACCACCACTTTGGGGTTCACAAGAGGCCAGAGGGAAACCTGGATTTCAATACCCATCTGGCAGTAACAAGATGACAGATGTCCTCATTCCTTTGCTGGAGTGGTGCCAAAGAAAGCCAGCTAGAACAAAGGTTTAAATAAGATCTAGTTTCATAAAATAATGTTCAAATGTCCATCAATTGAAATTCACTTATCATGTCAAGAACCATAAGGATCTCAAACTGAATAAAAAAAAATCAACAGATTCCAACAATGAGATGACTAAAATATTAGAATAATTGCTCCCATGAGAAATTATGAATGTGCTAGAAACAAGTAAAAACCCAAAAAGTCTCAGAAAAGAAATAAAAGATATGAAATAAACAAACAAAAATTTCAGAACTGAAAAATACAATAACCAGGCTTAAAAAGCCAGTGGATGGGCTTAACAGATGAATGAAGGGATAGAGGAAAATAATCAGTGAACTCACAGATGAAACAAGAGAAATCACTCAATATGGGCCACAGAGAGAGAGAAAAAAAAAACCCATTAAAAAAAAAAAAAGGTTCCCTAGGGGTCTCCAGGACTATAAGAAAAGACCTAACACTTCTTATCACCGATGTCTTGAAAAGAGAAAAGAAAGAAAAAAACCAAAGCTGAGCAAAACAAAAATAGGATAAAACCAAAGAAATCCACACGAGGATACATCACACTTCTGAAAACTTTTAAACATTACACTTCTGGAACGCTTGTGAAAACTATGTATATATATGACAGCAACAAGGAAGGAAAAAAAATCTTACCTAAAGAAGAAAAACAATTCAACTGACAATGGATTTATCATCAGAAACCATGAAAGGCCAGAATGAAGTGGTACATTTACCAAAGGCTAAAAGAAAAAAAACTGTCAACCTAGAATCCTATATCCAGAAAAAAAAAAAAAATAGCCTTCAAGAATTAAAGGGAGTTTGAAGGATACCTGGGTGGCTCAGCAGTTAAGTGTCTGCCTTCAGCCCAGGGCATGATCCTGGAGATGGGGAATCCAGTCCACATCAGGCTTCCTGTGAGGAGCCTGCTTCTCCCTCTGCCTGTGTCTCTGCCTCTCTCTCTCGCTCATGAATAAATAAATAAAATCCTTAAAAAAAAAGGGGGGGGGTTTGATATGAAGGATGAAAAAAAAAAACTAGGAAAATATGTTGCTACCAGACTTATCCTAAAAGAATGGCTAAAGAGAATGGCTAATCTTTTTTTCCTTTAAGATTTTATTTATTTATTCATGAGAGACACAAAGAAAGCGAGAGGCAGAGACACAGGCAGAAGGAGAAGCAGGCTCCATGCAGGGAGCCCGATGTGGGACTCAACCCTGGGATTCCAGGATCATCCCCCTTGGCCGAAGGCAAGGGCCAAACCATTGAGCTACCCAGGAATCCCCGAGAATTCTTTAAACATAAATGAAATGATAAAAGAAGGTATCTTAGAAAATAAGGAGGAAACTTTAAAAATGGATAAAATAAACTTCTCTAGTTTTTTTAAAATATTTTATTTATTTATTCATGAGAAACACAGAGAGAAGGCAGAGGCATAGGCAGAGGGAGAAGCAGGCTCCTCACAGGAAGCCTGATGTGGGACTCGACTCCAGAATTCCAGGATCATGCCCTGGGCCAAAGGCAGATGCTCAACCGCTGAGCCACCCAGGTGTCCCACTTCTCTAGTTTTTAAAAAATAAATTTGAGGGCTAAAACATGCATCATAGTACGGTCTGATGTGGTTTTAAATTGATGTAGAGGAAATATTTAAGATGATGATGTTATAAAGGGAGAAGGGCAAAGAGATGTAAAGGGAGGTAAGGTTTCTGTACCTCATTTGAACTAGTAAAATGGTAATAGCAGTAGACTGTAATAAGTTATGTATAGGTAATATACTAGCTACAACGACCACTAAAAATGCTACGTAAAGTAAGATACATTCAAAAAGTAGATAAATCAAAATAGAATTTAAAAATCTTTAAATAACCCACAGGAAGGCAGAAAAAATAA